CAATAAAAATCATGAGAGTTGCCATAACTGTAGATACAAGCTCCCTTCCTTTGATTTTGGTTTTTGTGGCAAGGCGAATTGTAACGAAACGTGAATATTATGCCTCCAAAAATCTTATAACATTAGTGGAAACCCAAGGGCAAGAATGAAGCAGTCGAGGCAGGTGTATACCAGTGACGTCAATTGGCCTAGGGCGAGAACCGCCATTATCTGAGGCTTTGCTTTCGCCCCAACCTTATCTACTCTTCTAACCTGGGTTTGAGCTCCGGATTCGAATCGGCCCAATCGGGTCGGGTTGGGTCCGGGAAAGTCGGCCCGTGCTGGCCTCCGGCGGACAGGAGTACATCGGCTATTACTATATAGATTTTGCGCCATCTCCAGTTCTTTTTTTTTTCTTTAGCTTAGTGGAAGGAATGCATCATGGGAGACACCTGTGTGTGGAAGGGGTGAAACATGACCGAGACCCTCCCGGCCATGCATGCTCCATCTCCTGTTCTCCCCGCTATGGTCCATTCTCATTCACTCATAACGGCATCAGGAAGTCTCCAGAAATTGCAACATGAGATTCCCCTGCTTAACCTACGTATGTTATAGTGCATCCGTTCGAATCGCGGGTTGTCGGATATATGCGGCATCGGCCTAATGAGGGGGTAATGAGGGTGATAAGTGGGAAGCGTCAATCAAATTGGCCACCCCTGAACCTAAGGGCGACGCTGTCTCTTTTTTTTTTTGGGGGGGGGGGGGGGGGGGGGGGGAGGGGGGAAGATGCCGCCTCTATAAGAATGTACGGGACGGATGACTTCATCAGGTTTCTTTTCCTTAGCCCTCGCTTAGGTGGTTCATAATGGCCGCCTCTATAAGAATGTATGAGAAAATGTACTTTTAGAATTTTGGGAAGTAGAAGGATGAAAGAAGAGGAAGCTCCGCCACTGGTTTCCTTCTTCACTCCCCTTCTCCTCTCATTAATCATTCAGTTTTCCCTTTTGTCCCAGTGCCGCCTGAGACGCTAATGTCTGCCTTTGCATTAAAAAAATTTTTGATTAATTATATCGATGTGAAACTCACATCCGTTCGAAACCTGTGGTAATGTTCTTCTACCTTAATGGGGCAACGGATCGCCTCATTCCCTCACCTCAACGCTGATTCCGCGTGACAAAATTATAAGGAAAGCCTTGAAACGCGTGAAAGAACAGCTCGACGAGTCTCAACTGAATGAAAGAAATACACCTCTGTCGTGTGAAGCAAAGCATATGAAGCAGATAAACGCCAGTTCGAAGCATTCATCCATTCAGTTATCGTCCTCCACCTGGCCGGGAGGATTCCGACTTTTCGTTTTCAGCTTCTCTGCCTCCACGAGTCTCTTGCACGGTCTTCATCCCGACTCCCTGAATCACCGGGTGTTTCAAAACGATATTATCCTCTCCCGAGAAAGAAATGGAATGACTTCCACCCCGCAAGCATAACATTCCCTGTTTCGTATTGGTGAGATTCGCAGCACGTAGGGCGCTGAGTTGGCAGGAGTAGAACTACAAAAGAATCTGAAAGCGTTTTGGTCCCCTCCCAGAGCAACAAAGTCGCTCGGTTCGAATAGGATCGAGGAACCATTTGTTTGAATCGCTCACCTATTGCGGCCATTATGAACCACCTAAGCGAGGGCTAAGGAAAAGAAACCTGATGAAGTCATCCGTCCCGTTTAGTATCTTATTGCGGGATTTTCGATCTTGCTGGAAATGTGATGCTGCTGTTTCAAAATACTCTCTACATAGGCTATGGGTTTATTTAATATTTTCGATAGGATAGGAAAGTTTGGCCTATGTGCGCTTGCAATTGGACAATATACAAAATCTCCATCTCTCTCTATCCTCCTTCTATCTCGATACATTTGAAACTTTTTTTTCTTCTCTCTAGCTCCAATGCATCCAGCCTTTAGGGAAATGAACTAGGAAGAAGAAGAAGAGATGGCCTGCCTCACGATGGAGAGCAGTTGTCGGTGTCCGTCATGTGCTTAAGTTTCCGCCGAAATTAGAAGGGAGGCCAAAATTCCAATGTTAATAATAATTTAAAAAAAAACTGGAGAGAATGTTGCGCTGCAACTCTCCGTGCATTGGAGAAGTTCCTTTTGAGGATGACAGTATGATCATCCAAGTGCATGACAATTTGCGATGACCTAGGAGGCATAACGGACTTTCTGGAGAAAATGGAATTCGCCGGCGTTTCCCTTCTCGCATTGCAGAAAACGAACAAACGTGTGAAAATCGAACTGTATGACCTGCTATTGGAGAATCGAAACCTACCTTCACCATACATGACGACGAAAGAACACTGCATAGGGCTTCTTGCTTACCAAAAATCTCCTCTCTCTCTCCCTCGTCTCCTCTTTCAGAAACGTCCCAGCCTCACTGATCTTGTTCACATCTGTCGCTCTCAGACTCGAGGATCTCGTATCAGTTGCGAACCTGAAACCTCTCTCTCTCGAGGGTGAGAATCCCTTGTGTTGTCTCACTGGGATTCGCTTGCTTCCAAGTCGAGGTCGTTCAAGATGTTGTATTGTCGTTCAGAATAGTGATATACGGTATCTGATTTTCACGGCAGGTTTTGGATTTGGCTTCGTGTTGCGGCTTAATACCAGCCGAGGCACTTGGCCAATGTTTGAAAAGCCACTCGAACTAAGTCTCACGCCCCCCATCAGGCGTAGAATAAGATCGGTTGGGAACTACTCATTCCTTGGATATGCATTGACACACTGTCGAAACATCGATTTTTGGCCTCATCTGTGACTCAACCCAGCCAGAGCAAGTCGATCGTCAATTTTTTTCATGGTACCAGGCATGATCTCCTCACTCGACTTCCATGCAGTGCGAAAGGAAACTGCCTTTTTATTAACCTGTTCTAGGGAAAAACAGCATTTACGTGGCGACATGCACTTGAGTGATGAGGATTTCCGTTTTTCATTTGCATGATATTTTGCCTATATTCGGTACCAGGACAGCTGATACTCGTCTTGGAAGTGAGTCTCCACGAAAGGACGGAATTCTCTGAACCGACTCGAACGGAACCGACGCTGTGCGCGGTTGACCCATATGCGATTTGATTTCTGTGATTTCCGAGACGTGGCGCCACGCACTGGCCCCGGCCGCGGCTTCCAACCGATGATGTAATTTCCATGTCAGAAGGAGTAAAGTTTTTGTCGGTTGTGAAACAGGAAGAGGCAAGCGTGCCATTACCATCTGCCCCCTTGGGGTAAGAATAATCCCAAGGACGGAAGGAAATTACGTCCCGCCCTCGTCACGGCAAATACCACACTCGCAACTCACTCCGTCCGAGTGCGTTTCCACCTCCCATCTCCCGTGTTCCGTCTTCTTTAATCGCCCATGAATCCTTCCTAATGAAGGATACATTGTACCTGTGACGTGAAATCTGATATTTCGCATCAAGAGGAAAGGAAGTGATCCAAGAGGAAGAAAGGAAGATGATGACTTTCGTGCATCTCGTGGTCTCATTTCTCCTCATTCTCTTGCCCGGAGACTGGGTGAATGGTGACTTCTCGAGGAAGGACACAGAAGTGAAATGTTGCCCGCGCCCAAAACAATTTGTGCTTGTTGACCAGGACGATGGAAGAATCACGTGTCAAAGTGCCAGCGAAGGTGAGCCTGAAACTCCCCCGTTTGAGGATTGCAAGTCGAAAAGGCTAACATTAGCTCCAAGTGACATAATGCTTCGCGATCCGATACTCTTTCTCACCACCTCTCATTGCTACGATGATATCGTCGTGCGGAAACGGGGACGAGTGATCGGGAGATACTCCAACAGTATTATTTTATGTCCTCCTGATGCTGACCGCATAAAAGCAAAGCAAATGGAGATTCCCGCTCAGAAATGCTGTCCCATGAATGAGGGCTACGATATGATGAAAGAAAAATGCATCCCATATCCTTACAACTGGACGATCTCTATCCTCAAAACAAACACGACGTCACAGTTTCTTGATTTGTCACCATTTGAAAATCAGCTAGGTATCAACGACCTCTCATCCATGCCTTGTGCCAAATATTTCCTGTCTGCCAACCTGAACGGCAAACCTTATCAAATGAATTCCCCCGTGGTCCAAGAAACAGGTGGGCTGTATGTACCAGCTATGAATTCAACATTTCCTAACGATCAGTTCTGCTGGGAAATTGGCTATCTTAATGAATCTTGGATAAACCTGGCTCGGATCTGTCACCCCACCGAGAAGAAGATGAAAGACTGCGAAGGAAAGGTGTGCGTCCAGAAATGCTGTCCCGAGTCTGACAACTTCTTGGGTCTATCAGGATTTTGGCCCGTATGCACCCCCGCTATATCCCCAGGACTCTGGGATCCCAGAAAATATTTCCGATCACAGCAACCTCCTTTAAAAGAAGACATCCACGTGATCACAGGTCCCCCCATGTGTCCATTCAGGCAGACTTCTTTCATCCAGTTGTTCCCAGGATCGATCCCAAATATGGCTCAAAACTTCTCTTTAACCCGGACTGGAAGCTTGACGACGATGTTCTTCGGCGCCATTACTTATCACTTTGACGTCCCCCAATACTGCATCGACGAGACGATGAACGAAGACGGGGAACTGGCACCAATTGCCTACCTCTGCCATTCCAAAATGGTAGAAGTAGCTAGCATGGGCTTCCTGTTCGTGCCTCTTGGGGCTGCGATCCTCCTCCTCACCTTCCTGTTCATCCTCGTCTCTTCCGAACGGAAGAGCCTTCCTGGGAAGACTCGTCTTTTCTGTGTCGGCTGTCTCCTGGTAGAGGCCGTTTCCAGCTGCTTCAGAATCAATGCCTTCGGCATTAGGGTCTCCTATTCTTACTGCCTTGTTGCAGGTACTCCGTCGACTCTTCGCCAAGTAACTTAATTGTTTAGTGACGTTTTGTCTGTAACATTCGCAGAGTTGAGCGTATGGTTCTGGAACCTGTCGGCATTTTTCTGGCTGAACGTCATGAGTTATGACCTGTGGAAGCATATCGGGTGAGGAATCTTGATTATCTGGAAAGAATTCTAAAGGCTCAGTCGCATATTGACACCCTAAGTAGCCTACTTTTTTGACTTAAAGGATATGAAAATTTCATAATACTAATTCGTGAACCAGCTTTCATTATTTAAATAGCAAGAAAACTCTCTCGAAGAACCATTAGCGGTGATTTAGCATCCTTGAAATGTTATACAAGAATGGAACAATCGCATCTTTATCTTTATTTCGTAAATTGCCGTTATAAGTATAATTTTTATTGATGGACTATTTGTTTATTGTGTCTCTTATGTAACTATTAAAAAATGGTTAGTCCGCTGTTTTGCTGATTTGCGCACATCTGTATTCCAAATGTGGGCAAAACATTTTCCCCTTGAGCGCACGTGTCACTCCTGCAGTCACTGATCTGTTTTTTTGTTGTTTTTTTTGTCTCCTGCCGAAAACAGTGTTCTGCAGTGGGTTCTACCCGGTGTTGGGAGTAAGAAACTTGTGCTATACAGCCTGTATGCATTCGGGGCTCCAGCGTGTTTGGTGGCGATAGCGTACATCCTTCACTTCACAATAGGCTCCTATAACACCGCTATGATAATTTCTGGGATGGAGATGGAAGTATGCTTTGTTCTTGGTAGGCACTAGCCAACTGTGTCCAAGAGGGCATGCGTGCACTCTTTTTCCACAGGATGCATCGTCACAGTCCTCACGCTTTCCTTCCTCAATTACTTGTAGGTCTTCCCGAAGCAGTTTGGTATTCCATGATCTCAGTCCTCGTGGCTGATGCCATTTTCCTCTGTCTCACATGCCGTTACATGATTAGGCATGCAAGAGACACTTTTCGCCTAACTCGAAACCAGGAACACAAACAAACGTGAGTTTCATTAATAACGTTATCAAGCTTCAAAGTTTTAAGTCTTTTTCAGAGTGACGCGACAGATCTCGTTTCAGATTTATTCTATTTTCCAGATCCTCTAACTAAACATTCTTGTTACGTTTATTGGTCAATTCGGAAGAATAAATTAAAACTGAAGCCCCAAAAGAAGCAAAGAAATGCCCGTCTTACCCCCCTCGAATTCTCTACAAGCTTCCGAAAATGTATTTTGTTGAATGCCAGCCTGTAAGAAGGATGCTGCACTCTGCCCTCTCCCCTATGTCTGTCAAATCCATTAAAACCGACTCGCCAAGACATCCTTCCCCGTCCATCGTATGAATTTCAACAAAGAGAAAAGGTGAATGAGGGTGCCCTAAGGGTGTAAAAATAAGCGCAAGATGAAGAGAGAGAGAAAGTAACGGAGAATTCGAGATCGACAGTGCCTTAAACTTTCTCTGCTCTTTTTTCATGCGGTAGTGTTCCCTTCTTGTCTCTCTTTATAGGTTTTGGTTGTACCTCGCGTTGTTTGTGGTGATGGGAGGAACCTGGCTGGCGAGGATGATCAGCTCCTCCACCCGCACGGTCGAGGGTCTTTATTTCAGTCTCTTCCTTCCCTGCCTCCAAGGAATATTGATCTTCCTCCTTTTCATGTGCAAGGCCACCGGGAAGGCCAAAAGAAAAGTTGGGGGGTGGCTCGCCATGTTTCCACGTAAGGGCAGGAATCGGGAAGCGGGAGGAGCTGAAAGCCATCAACAGTCTTTTCTGATGTTGCCGATTCAAGGAGCAGAGTCCCGAGGCAGACTTGAATTTCCTTCGGTATCTTCACGAAGTCCTCCTTGATATCTTCTTCGATAGAGAATTTTTCTGGTCAGTATGGAGTATATTAATCAGCAATCGCTTCTACTTCCGTATTTGCATATTTTGCCATAGATATCGACTCTTGGCTTCGCCTTATGAATAAAGATAAAATTCAGAATGATTTTTCTCTGTCTCTGTCTGTCACCGAACTTGCCAGGTGTTCACGATCCAGATTTGGAAATAACGGCGCTTATGGTATTGTAAAGGACGTATGTGAGAAAATATCGTATCGTACGGGTAAAGGAAAATCTCTTGAAGACTTGTTATCCGATCCACGACATGGTAAGGATATCTGGAAGACGTGGTAACTTATACCATATCATGCGATGAAAATGAGCATCTGTTTTCTCCCTTTTCTTTTTTTGTCTTTTAGACGCATTGTGACTCGTTTTCGATTTTCGATAACGGAAGCATGCCACCAGAATAATTGGCGGAAAACCGATTTCATATGCCGACGTGGATAAAGGGCCTTCTCCGGGATTTTTAAAATATGAATAAATGTTACATGTGCAGATTTTAGTTTATCGTTTAGGGACTGACATTAGGCACTATTTCGAGTGGATAATGGACTTTCGTCTTTCAAGTATGGAAAAATCTAAACGACAGCAGGAAAAGCCGAAATTTCCACTTCCAGCCTTTAGAGAAAAATCAAACATCTTTCTAATTTTGAAAGACGTCCGATTATCATGTAGCATGTGCTGACACGCCACGCAATTCTTGTTGTTTTTTTTTTACAGCTGTAGAAGTGCAGATTGATTCACAACTCCGTTTGGCGGTACTTTTGCTTCATATCATGACCACACTGAAAGAAGAAATGACTTTTCGAGTACAGATTCGCTGCTAGATTGACTATGTGAAACGAGCTCACCATGTGGTAGCTGCGCGCGCTGCTATTTATTTAAGATAAGATGGAACGTAACTCTAAGATTGAATTTTGACTTGCATAGGGCCGAAACATTTCTCTCTGATGGAAAAAGAGCATTGGATTGCACCCAACTCCCAATGCATTTGGCAACGCGTGTCCTTTTTCCGTCTCTTAGGTTCCTGTTTTGCATTTGTTGCGATCATGCTGAGGGTTTCGGGAGAGGCAGAATGTCCCGAAAGGGGCTAACCCTTTGGGGTCCACGCCCGAGTTATCTCGCGTTGGCCTCATGGTGAGGGATGGAAGAAACTTGGATGACAGTGCTGACCCATCCAGAAATACTCGGACCCCAAAGGGTTAATCACTGAGTCGCATTTCACCACCTTGATGGCATTTCACCCAATGGACAACATTTCTTTCACTCGTGTTCAATTTGCATCGAAGCGAAAATACGCACCGAAGGCGATTCTGGCTCTTGCAAGCAAGAATCGAAGTCATTTCTTTTTACACGTCTCAGTTGGCCTCTGTGTGTTTGGCGAGATATAATAAATTTTTCTTTGACAAGAATTTCGGTACACTCCTTGTATTTCGAACGAGATATATTATCACGTTGTCTGAACGTGCATATCATTCTTTCCACGGATGGGTGACGCAGTCAGTGGCTGACCCGAGCCAAAAGGACCGTCTTCCTGGTGATAGAAATGTTAAAATATGGTCAGAAAGATGTCGTGAATCAGTCGTGAATGCCTTCCATGCCTGTCCTTTCGAGGACGCCGTACAACCATGTCCGCCGAAATTCCGGACTTCCCCGTTCGTCCAGTGCGAAGATGAGCGAATCGACTCGAATCGAGAGCGTCGGAGATGAGGCTTCCTGGTTTTCATCTTCCGCCGCTTCCTCGCTTCTGCCCCTTCGGAGACAAAACCAGGAGATCCTCTCGCCCATCTTCATCTTCGCGTCCTTCGCAACGTCCCCCTCACGCGTCAATACGAAGAAGGTGAAGAATCCCGGGAGGCTGGTGAGGGCCAACGCGATGTCGCCCTTAAGGGTGCCGGTGGCGTAGCTGATGATCCCCGCCAGCCAGGTCACTCCCATCGTCGCATACAACTTGAGGTAGAACCAAAACCTGCAGAGGAACATCGAAGGAGAACGCTGAGGCTCGAAGAAGAGAGAATGAAATGCAATTGTCATTTTATGAGGTATTGTCTAAAATGGTTTCACTAATGACTCTCGTTCCAATATATTCAAATTCTCATTCTTAGTATGCGTTTGCCACTCTTTCCATAGGTTTCATTTCAACGCAGGTTTTTCCGGGTGAGCATATGAGGGGTGATCAAGACGTTCTCGATGGTTACGATCATGATTCAATGGCCTTGTAAAAAGAAAAAGGTTCTTCGTCGCATAATTTATCATCAGCTTCTTCTCTTCCTTGCGTCTCGCGAGCATCGTCTTAAAGGAGTTTTTTTCGTTGAGAGAAACAATTTTACGTAATTAATGGAGTCAGGGAGAAGAATATCTGACATTTTTTACTTGCATTGGACATGCATTGAAAAGGTGTATCGATGATGGAGGTTGAATTATTCCTATTTAATATTAGTACTAATGAATAAATTTGGGTTGTATTATTAGTATTTCTTTTGACTTCGGCTCAAATCTAATCAGGATTTAATTTCAATTACATCATAGAGTACGTTTCAAGTATGATAATTTTTTGTTTTCCACTAGGCAATGAAAGGAATTTAAATTTTGAATCATTTAATTGTTCATTAGTCGAAAATGAATACAGCTCACACCTTTTAGCCCGTCTCATCGCGCAAAGGAAAATTTCCAGCAGTGGAGAAAGGCCAACCGTAATGGAGTTTCCACGTCCGAGTCCCCCCATTTACGTGGCGAGCGATGGAAACGCCATCGATTTCTCGACCGTGACTGCTGCTGGGGCGTGGCTGCCCTCCGAGTTTCCCCGGATTCTCGGAATAATGGAACCTACGATCGCGAAAGCTGCTTCTCGTCGGACCCCATAGCGACTTGCACACGGAAAGGCTGCCATACCTGAAACTCTGCCGGAAATATCTGGCATTTCCGTAGAGATGTGCTGGGGTACTTTCCAAGAAACCCAGAGGAGGCGTCTCGATTTCTGAACTAAAGCAATTCTTCCCCGCTCATATATTATAGGAGAAAGTTTGCTTTTCATCCGCTATATCCCGTGTTTTTCTTACATCCTGTATGTTACATGTCCTACTCTCGATCTGGAAAGTGCGTTTAATAGACAAAAAATAAACGGGCAACATCACGGCATTTTCTCGCATTTTTTCTCCTCACAGCGCCACAATTTCCTTAAAGCAGAAACCAAGAATCCTCTTGTAGTCGACCATTAATATGCCCCATGCCCCTGTTCGCTTGACGGGACTTGCCGGAATCCGTACGACTCAAAAGCGAACTCTCACCTGTGATCCCACCTGTGGTCGAGGCCCATCACGCCGACCCAGCAGAATGCGGACAGGATCCAGTAGAAGCTCCCCGACTCTAGCAGAATGAAAAGAGAGACTCTTGAAGCAAAGTACGTGCAACTCGACCACGCTTCGAGGACGGTGACGACGACTACTTGCAACAAGGCAGAAAGCATCCGAGACCCCGAAGCCATCCACGACGAGTGCGACGGAAACGTCGGCGAACAGCAGAGCCCCAACGTAGAGGAGACCAATCGTCCAGGGAAATGTCTTCCGCTTGAGGGATAGGACGGAGAGGAGGAAGGCGACGAGCAGGAGCACATCTGACGAGTGAATCCATAATGATCCAGCAAGACGAAACTCCGCGTTCTTCCGCGGGCAACTCTCGTCGTCTCGTTTGGGTGAGTCACCCATCTCTCATTCTGAGATTCGGGGATCGAGGAGTGAGAGAACTCAAGTCACCATCATCCTTCCGTGTTTTCCCTCTTCTTCCCTATCGAAATCGAGCTCGAATTCGGAAACGCACACTTTCTAGATGCATTTCCCCCATTATTTCGACGCACTCACGAACGAGATGGGACTAGGGATAACGAGATGGAATCCGCCGAGAACAGGGCTTGCCTCTCGGATGGCACGCAAGCAGGCCTAACGCCGGTGGAATTTTTCCTCATCCCCATACAGGTGCAGAGGGGAGGGGTCAAGGCCCCTCCTCTCCCAGCAATTAAATCTTTCACCTCCGTCTTTGTTCTTGCCTGGTACCATATCGCGAAAAGCATCAGCTCTGTCGACGTTCATGTGTTCGCTGCGTATGATCACGTTTCGGATCGTCTCGATATTAAATATAATCGAAACGGGAGACCTTGATTACCCTATGCAGAATCATTCCCAGGCAAAAAATGAGCTGTCGACTCATGGCAGTGACCCCGTGACGAAGTGATGAACACGAAAGAAAACCTAACGCCTTTTAGAAAGAAAAAGTAGGCTTTCCTCAAATCATGCATTTGGATCCTCGAGGCTCTGAATCCGAGCTTCTCGAGCGCATATCGCCCTTCCCTTCCGACAAAGTGACAATTGAAAAATGACGTCGTCCCGGTCACTCTTCTCCCTCGTCGTCGTTTCCGGGTGGACGGGGAAACGAGCCTGAAATATTGCGTCCGATGCAATCCAGCAGTTTAGAGAGGAAAGAGAGAATTCCTGCATCGGCATCTCTGCTTGAAAATGCCAGATGCCATACCAAGTGGAGATGCTGGATGCCGGACACACCGAGTGAATGACTCAATGGTGTTCGTGTCGACAGATCGCAGAAGTGATGATAGGTGATTGTGTCGTGAGGTGGATATTAAAAATCGAATATGCTAAGATTAGAGCCCCGGAGCTTCCGCGGGGTCGTCGTCATGTCCGCGGTGCTGCATGGACTATGCCCTTGCCAGGGATGTGCCCGAAGAACCCTCTATTGTGTTTGGGGGAGTGTTCTCCACTTCCGGTCACGCGTCCCGTCTTCCGCCGTTGTGTTCCGCCCGAGTGAGTCCGTCCCAAGCAGTCAGGAGCGTGTCTGTGCTGCGTCTTTCATCTGAGTCCAACGTCTTGCGCCCGTGTGCCTGTCTTGTGACTTTTTCGCCCAGGAGAGAGAGTCTCTAGTGTGGCTGAAAAAGTGAGACCGTCGTTGTCTTTTGTGGGAGTTCCCGCCTTGCAAGGAAGGATAGTCGGTCGGGGTCTGTCGGGGACCATGCCTGATCGTATACCTAAGGTTGAAGCCCTCATCGCCACCTGCTCCCCTACAATCAAGTCCTCATCGTCTGATTAACTTTGTTATTTCTTATATTCTTTTAACTTAAAGTAAACATTTGTTGTTTCTTGTCTTTGAACACCGTATTTCATTCGTCAGTCGTCTCCTTAGACGGCTCCTGTATTTGGAGCGAGGCCGGACCCTTTGCCTTAGCATAATCGGTCATTCTAAATTATTGTTTATTTCATAATTATTATTATGGTCCAATCCTCAATCTGCAAACCATTTAAGCACACATGGTTTTTTAGGTACTGTTTGCAGAACTGAAGAGGACCCATCCTCTCAAACTTCTCAGTACTCTGTGGGTACTGACCTATAGAAACTGAAGGGGATTTATCCCCTGAGAGTATATAGTTCATCATCCATAGGTCATGCGATTCATTTTGATGAATTTACCTCTACTTTGATCCACGGATCCAAATACCAGGAACTCATTGAGGAATGTTGATGCAAGGTGGAAATCATATTGAATGAATGTTGCCATCAATATTTTTTCCACATTATCAAGGAATGTTGAATCAATGTTGACAAAAATGACATCTTCACATGGAATCAATGTGGTACCTCAATGTTGTTTCAACATTATAAATGTTGCCATGAAACATTGTTTCAATGTTGTTTCCACATGGATGTGTTACCTGGGCCCCAGTTCGCTCAGCGAACTGGGGTGTCCCCCCTCTCGCCCGCACGCGCGGGCGCGAGGCCAGCATCGCACGTGAAGGCATTCCCGGCCGAAATGATTGGCAGACAA